ATTTTTTTATTTTGGGTTTGGATTTGACGTATTTTGCTAATAAATTATTTTTTATTTTTTTATTTTGGGTTTGGATTTGGCGTATTTTGCTTAATTTATTTTTTATTTTTTATTTTTTTTGGGTTTGGGTTTGGCGTATTTTGCGTACATTTTTTTGTTTTTGTTTATTTTTTATTTTATTTTGGGTTTGGGTTTGGATTTGGCATATTTTGCTTAATTTTTTTTTAAAATTTATGTTTTTGTCTTTTTTTTTTTATACATTAATTAGTTCTTATTCTTTAATTTACGTTTTTTGCCTTCTTTATTTTTATTGATATACAATAACTTATTTATTTATTTATTTGTAAATTACGTGGTGAATGGTAATTTATATTTTCATGTTTTTTTTTAAAATGTTTTTGAATGAGGCGTATTTTTGTCGTTATTTTTTTTAAATTTACGATTTTGTCATTTTTTTTTACTCACATTAATTTATGTTTTTTTTCTTTTTTATTTTTATTGGTATACAATAACTTTTTTTTTATTTTTCAAAAATGAGTTTTCATGTGTTTTATTTATTTTTAAATTACGTGGCAAATGCTAATTTTTGTCTTTGATTTTTTATTTTTTTTGGATGAGGCATATATTTCTGGTTCTTTTTTTTTCATTTACGTTTTTGTCATTTTTATTTGTATACATTAATTTGCTTTTATTTTTCAAAAATAGTTTTTCATGTGTTTTATTTATTTTTAAATCACGTGGCAAATGCTAATTTTTGTCTTTGATTTTTTATTTTTTTTGGATGAGGCATATATTTCTGGTTCTTTTTTTTTCATTTACGTTTTTGTCATTTTTATTTGTATACATTAATTTGCTTTTATTTTTCAAAAATAGTTTTTCATGTGTTTTATTTATAAATAATTTAATAAGTAAAAAATTAAAATAAATATTCAAAAAATTTAAATCGTAAAAATTTAAATAATTTAAAATGTTAATGTTTTAAATTTAAAAACAACTCTACACTCAAATCGTAACCAAACATATAAAATAAAACTCAATTAATAAATTATTTTTAAAACTCATAACCAAACACATAACTCGAAACTCCATACTACTTTCACAATTCTACACTCAAAAAATAACCAAATACATAATAAAAAAATTAAAATATTTAAAAATATTTTTATAAATAGAGTTTGAATTTATTTTTATAAAATATTTTAACAAAAAACAAAAACATGTTTTAATTTTTTTTTTTCAACTTTCTTTGTTAAATTTACGAAAAGGTGTGTTTTGGGAAAAGGTTTTTTTTTTTTTTTTATTAATTTTTGTGCGCTGCAGTTGATGGTGATGTCCAAAATTAACATGTGGGGGTAATTTCGTAAATTGACCTTGGTATTAGCTGTTGGGCTGCACTTGTGAATGTTTTGTCTCCATGTGGCTAAAAAAGCCACCTTTGTCGTGACATGACTATTTTAGCCCAAGTTTAACTTCCCAAACACCACCTTAGTACTATTGCATAGTTTTAGATGGTTAGAGTATTTTCATTCGTACCTTTAAAACTTTGTATGTCATTTTCTTTTTTTCTTTTTTCTTTTTTTTTTTTTCTTTTTTTTTAAGATTAAAGTGTCAAATTGGCATATACAAAATTTCACATCTCTAAAAATAAATAATTCACCCCCCCACAAAAAATAAATAAATAAACAATTCACCTTATATGCCAAATTTATTATTTATATATATTTTTTACTTTAAAATTTTTGAATTTTTGTAGGTGTTTACCATTAATATAAGGGAGCTACTATTAGCCCTTACATAATTTCTTGGGCAAATTACACCAGTGGTTTCTACATTTTACATCTTGTGTTATTTTGATCTCTACATTTTCAATTAGCTCACCTTTAATTTTAAATTTTGTGTTAATTTGGTTCAATTGATAATATCATTAGTGTTTTTTTATAGAAAATTATCACTAATTGATTGAGATTAACTCATTGAGTCCAGTAAATTTATAATTTTACCCTTAAAAATATGACACATAACACTTATGTGCATATTTTTCATAAAAAAAGATACTAAGAGTTCTAATCAATTAGATCAAATTGAAACAAAATCATAAATTCAAGGTCAAAATCGAGTCAATTAGAATTATAAAGATGAAAATGACATAAAGATAAAAATATAGAGACTACTGTCGTAGTTTGTCTTAATTTCTTACAACCCCACATGTTCAACTTTTTTTGTAAAACAATTTTACCTTCAAATAAAATTACTTAAAAGGATAAAATTTTAAAATGCAAACTCACCATTCTGATCATTCTAAAGTAGTGTTTGGAAAGTTGGCTATTTTAGTAGGCTAAAATAGTTGTGTTTGGAAAAATGGTTAAATTTTTTTATAGTTGGATGCGACGTTTGTAAGTAAAAAAGTGAAACAATTACGGATTTGATATGAGATTTTGTCTTGTTGACTATCTTGACGTATTTTATTTTTTAATGCTATTTTAGCCTAAAAAGCCAAAAAAATATATTGCCAAACACCTCTATAGTATTGTATCTGCAAGGGGTAACGGAGAGAGTCTCTCTCTCTAGGAGATTTTCAACGACTTTTCAACTTCTTTTTGGCGAGGTCCAATAACACTTTTATAGTATAGATCTAGGTTGTTAACGCTTAAAAAGAGGGATTTAAGAGTTTCTTCTCCTATTTTCAGCATAGACTTTTAGATTTTGAACATACACAACTGTCTCATTTTCTCTCACTCCTCCTCCCTTACTATTGTTAATATTTTTCTTCAACTCTGATTTTCAGCGATGACTGAATTTCAAAAAGAAGCGGTAACAACGGCAAAATTGGGCAGCGGCAGCAGGGGTGAAGGTGAATGTGTCTTCCCAAAATCGAAGCTGATTTTTTTGACTATTTTTGTAGTTTGTGTAGGTTTCTTATTTGGCCCTTCGAGGCCTTGATTTTCTTTTTCTTATTTTGTATGGTGTTTATTTTTATTTTAATATAATTGCATTATAACCTTTCTCAAAAAGCACCCACTAAAAAAAAAACTCATCATTTTCAACACAAACCCATTTTAATTTTTTTTCTTCATCTTTTTGTTTTCTTCATTCACAAACTATCTTACAAACCATTATTGCATAATTTACAATTCCTTATGAAATACTCAGCATGGAAGAGGATGGGGTTTGAGTGGAATAGTATCAAAATGGTCAGCCCAAGGTTACTGAATCTTGTCAATATGCTTGAAATTCCATACAAAATGGGCTGCCAAACATCTATCCATGTGTTGGTACTAAAATCTTGAGTTTGGCATATCGACATAGATGTTGATGTGGTATAAGACTTTTGATTGAGGTCCAGGTTAAAGACTTGTGAATTGGACAGATGCCTTAGTGCAAGGAGTGTGCAAGACATATGACCAAACAGAGCAAGCAATCAAAGGAAGAGGCAGTTGAAGAAGAGGAGTTACTTGCATGCATTAAGGATGGACACGTGGCTGCAGCAATCGTGGCTAATGCAAGGAAGATAAAAGTTGGGAATTCGAACTGAGAAGGATCCTCAAACTTATTCACAAACTTGTGAAAAAAACTAAGAGTAGCAGTTATTTACGAGTAGTTAATCTGTAATTCAGGCCTAATAGTTATGTTGTAATCTTGTAACTATATTATTCTAGTTTTTTATTCTTTTAGTCAAGTGACAAATTCAATTTCAATTCCAATTTAAGTTGTGTTTGTTACTTCAATTGATTGCCTTTAAAAAGTCTTTGAATTCTATCAAAGCATAGAACTCAACCGCATAGCTTGTTTTCATACTTTTGTTTGTGTGAGTTTGTGATTGTTTGCCGATTGACAAATGTCGATCTTCTCTACACCAGAAATCTACTGACACAATGTTTTCGCAACAACAATAAATACTCATAAAAAATAAAAAAACAAAAACCTTCTCCAAATAATAAAACTAACTATAAAAAGACATTTAAAAAAATAAAAATAAAAAATCCGAAAGGTTATCATAAGAAGAACAAAGTGTAACATTGAGTTCATTCTAAAAAAAAGTGTAACATTGAGTTTGGAAGGACCACCAATGCTTCAAAACTACAACGAAGGCTTCAAATTTTGGAACAATGACTTCATATTGTGAATGGAAATAAAAGATTTTGGCATTTTCTTTTTAATACGTCAAACTTGGCATGGTTTAAGACATGTCAATTGCCAACTAGCTTTCATAAATTTAGGTGGAGTACAAATTACATGCCAAATTTCATTATCAAAAGTGTCATCTCAGATTTGAAAATTCGGGTAGAGATGCTCTTACAATAGCATAGTCACCAAAGGCTCTAGCCAATATCTCCCGGTCACCACATGGTATTTTTAGTGAAGGCCTTGTTCACCCATCCATGCTACTCCGTACATGGTTCTTTCCCACGAACCGCCAACATCGCTCAAAGTGTCAAAGTCTCTACCAACACTGCCTTCACCATTTCCCACTGCCCAACCCGCCTCCCCTATTCTCTCTGTTCTGTATAATCGAACCCCAAGTTCAAGACGGGAAAAATACATGCCACTTACCATCAAGCTATCTCAAGATTTGTATATGCCATTGCCTTCATTATTATATATCTCAACATAAATAACTAACATGAGTGCCAAATCTAATAGTTGTATAACCGTGCTTGTGATATAAGACAAGCTTTGACTGGAGATTCTTCAACTATAGCAGAGCCTTCAACTACAGTAGTGCTAGTGCAACCCAGATTCTATTGTTTTCAATTTTGGAATTATTTTAAAACTTCAAAAATAAAAATTATATAGCCTTACATTTTCAATAAATTAAAAAATATTAAATTCTCTCATTGAGATCATTTAAAGGCCTGTTATGTCGAACAAAATTCCAAAACAAAAAGGGTAAAACTGGTTAGCCAATAATTGTCTCCGCTTTTCAAATCTTGCAGGCAACATTATGCTTTCAGTTATTATGAATGATTACGAAACGAGCAATTTTGAATTGAACCTTGACATGACTACCGTAAAAATTTGCCACATGAAACCAGTATAAAGATAACCTTGTAGTCCTACCAACAAATATTGAATATGGCATAGCTGACAACAAAATAATTCACCACCTCTTCATTGAATAGGAAGGCATGGTTGTGGTGACAATGACAATGACAATAATGTTTCACTCAAATTCGCCATTGATCAAAACAAATTTAGCTATAACCAAAAAAAAAAAACAATTTTGAAGCCTACTTGCAATAGCAATACACCACTTAAACAATTGTCATGCTGCTACAGCAGAGAGAGAGAGAGAGAGAGAGAGAGGCCCTCGTCAGATTGTTTACATTCATCTTACAAGTGGTATGAGCAAGTACTCAGCATAAAAGAGCTGCAAGACCCAATAAGATGTCAGAGATGAATACATTAATGTACAGTGCAGTGCATTTATAATTCAGCAATTGATGACTCTTCCAAGTAATGAGGATGATACCAAAATAACAGTATTAGAAGATCAGGCTGGGGCAAAAAAATTTTTTTAATACCTTTCTTTGACAAATAAAAGGAAGCATATAACAATATTTAAAAGACTAGAAGGATCAAAAGTATTTCAATTGAACATATGGTTGGTTTGCAATCAGATGATCAAGGGGGTCTGTTGAACTTTGCCAGCCCTTCAAACAAATGTCCCATTCAACAAAATTTTGAGGTGCTAACAGCAACTATGAGAAAGAACACCACAAACTAGCAACTAAATTGGTTTTTTCAAGTACCTAATAATGTATAAATATTGTTAAGAACAGTATAGAATTTACTCATACAAAGTGAATTCTAGAGCATTCACTCCTGCAATTGAATGGAGCTTGGGTAAATGGTTGTCTTAGCCATAGAGATTGCATACAGCAGTATGTCGTTATATCAACCAAGAAAATAAAAAATGCCAAAATAAAAGAATAAAAAATAACTGGTTACCTAACACTTGATAAGATAACTGATTACCTTCCATATAAACATGTAGAAGGATGTTACTGCAGCTTTACTCTTCAAATCCAGAGATTTAGCACGGTTCCAGAGTATTGATGCTAATATGGCATGGCCCAAAACCTAAATGAATGTAAAGAAAGAATCATGAACTAGTTATTAGAAGCTTGAATACAGGACATAACCCACGATTTTAGTTCACCAAATTTCCTGTTCTATGTAGTAGCTTTTGCAATTATTGCAACCTCAACCGAGGTTTTCAAATATCATGTACTTCTATTGACTCTGATATATTTATCAAGCAGTCACCTTAGGCAATCGCAAAAGACCGTCCTACCCAGTGGCGGCCGGAGGATTTCTTCCCAGGGTAGTAATTTTAAAGAGATACTATATGCATTATTAACATAGAAATTGTTAATAAACAATGTACAGAAGTGCATTGAAATGTGATGTATGTGTAAGTTTTCTGAATGAATTATGTATATTCAATTGTAAATAATACAAAGAGTACAACCGAGTTATATAGACCTAATCTAAAAAATGAAATAAGAATAAACCTATATACTTATAATCAATCTAATATATTTACAAAATTAGTATAATATTCTCATACCCTTGCTCAAACTCAAGGTGTTTTAACAAAAAATACTGAGAGTTTGCCAAGAAGGAACTGAAACGAGCAGTGGTGCGAGTCTTGGTAAAGAAGTCAGCAAGTTGAAGTGCCAAAGAGATGAAAGGAAACGAGATAGAGCCAGGTTGCCAATGCTGACGAACAAAATGACAATCAATCTCAATGTGCTTCGTCCGCTCATGAAAGACAGTGTTATGGGTAATTTGAATAGCACTGCAATTGTCACAGTAAAGAGAGGTTGGAGAAGACTGAGGTACACCCAAATCAGATAAGAGACAACAAAGCCAAACAATCGCAGCAGTGACATGAGCCATAGCACGATACTTAGCCTCGGCAGTGGAATGCGCAATAGGTTGTTTCTTGCTCTTCCAAGAAATCAAAGAATTACTAAGAAACATGCAGAAACTAGAAATGGACTTGCGATCACTAATATCACCAGCTCAATCAGAATCAACATAGGCCACCAAGTTCAAAGAGGAAGTGGAGGACAATAGTAAGCTCTGAAATGAGATATAGTACCTCAAAGATAGCGAAGAATGCGAACCAAAGCAGCTTAGTGTGTAGAATGAGGAGCAGAAACGAATTGACTAACCATATAAACAACACAGGCAAGATCAGGGCGAGTAACAGTCAGATAGACTAAGCAACCAACAAGCTCTCAATATAAAGTGAGATTATCCAAAAGAACACCATCAGTAATGTTAAACTACACATTAAGCTCGATGGGGGTATCAGAAATATTAGTGTCAGTAAGACCAGCATGGTGAAGAACCTTATTTACATACTTGCCCTAAGATAGAAAGTAGTCCCACAAGAAAAAGTTACTTCAATACCAAAAAAATACCGCAATGGACCCAAATCCTTCATTTCAAAGGTGCGAAAGAGATGCTACTTAACCTCAAAGATAGTAGAAGAGTCAGAGCCAATGATGATCATATCATCCACATACAATAACAAGGCAACAAAGCGAACAAAGGTGTAAAGGAGAAACAAAGCACAATCCTAGGGACAAGGCTGAAACCCAAGCTCAGTGACAGATGCCTGAAAACAATCATACCAAGTATGAGGGGATTGCTTCAAATCATACAGAGCATGCCAAAGACGACAAACCTGTCCAGAGGAATGAGAAAGGTCAGGGGAAAGATGAATGTAAACCTCCTTAGTGAGATGGTCATTAAGAAAAACATTCTTAGCATCCATCTGATAGAGAGGCCAATGACGAACAACAACAACAACAATCAAAATATGCACATTAGTCATCTTGGCAATAGGGGCAAAGGTTTCCACATAATCAATACCATAATCCCGTGAGAAACCTTTGGCAACTAGGCAAGCTTTGTAGCACTCGATAGAACCATCAGAGTGAGCCTTGACTTTACAGACCCATTTGCAACCAACTAGATTTTTGCTAGCAGGCAACGAAACTATCTCCTAAGTAGTAGTCTTCTGCAAAGTAGACACCTCATCCTATATAGCTCGAACCCAATTAGGATCCTAACAAGCCTCCTTATAAGACTGGGGTTATGAAAAAGAGTGAATAGCAGACGAAAAGGTGCAGTATGAAGGAAAAAACATGTTTGAGCAAAGCCAAGTTTGACTACCTGTGTACAGATACGAAGGGGATACTTATGGTTTGGCAAGATCAAAGTCGTCAGAGGTAGAAGGATCGACAGTAGAGGCAAAGACAACTAGTAGAGGGAGAGCCTTGCAACGAGAATAGACTAACAACGAAGGAAGAGGAAGAGGAAGAGGAAGAGGAAGAGGAAGAGGAAGAGAAGAAGGAGGAGACAGAGATGGAGATGAAGGGGGAAGAGAAGAGGGAACAGATTCATAGGGATCAGTGAAAAGAGACTTAGCAGGAGGGATGATAGAAGGAACAAGCTCATGAAGAATAGTAGAGATGTACTCATCCAGAGGGACCTTAGAAGGAAGTGGATCAATGTGAATCAAACCCTCTTTGAAAACCAAAGTAATGATAGGAAGAAGTTGAAAGTAAGACAGATGTTCGAGAAAGGCAACATGAAGGGAGACATAAAGACGACGAGAAATAAGGTCATAACAATGATAGCCTTTTTGGGTAAGACTGTAGCCCAAAAAGACACATACAATAGAGCGGGCACTAAGTTTTGTCCTATCTTTACGGGAAAGAAGTACAAAACAAGCAGACCCAAAAACACGTAGGAGAGAGTAATTAGGAAGTTGGGAGAACAGAACCTTATAAGGAGAACGACCAGAGAATAGGAGAGTAGGCATACAGTTTAGAAGAAAAGCAGCAGTAAGAACTGATTCACCCCAAAACGGGGCTGAAACAGAGGCAGAGAAGAGAGACCTAGTTGTCTCAAGGAGATGACAATGTTTACAAGAAGTTTGGTGAATGGTACCCAAATTGGTCAATTACTCATATAACTCAGTTTTAAAATATTAACACCCAAGTCAAACCATAACAATTTGATAGTAGAGCCAAACTGTGTAGTAACCATAGACTGAAAATACTATATATCAGGTAGAAGTTAGACTTATGAGTCATAAGATAAATCCAAATGTAACAAGTGCCGTCATCAACAAATGACACACAGTATGCAGAACTCCCTTTGGTGAGAACAGGAAAAGGACCCCATACATTAGTATGAACTAAAGAAAACGGTGTATCAGATATAAAAGTATTTTTATGAAAAGGTAAGGCTGTCATTTTGGCAAGTTTACACCCCCGACACTCGGTAATTTAACTAGGAAAAACTTTATCCAATATACCTGACTGAGCCAAAGACTGTAAGCAGTCAGTAGACAAATACTCTAATCTAGAATGTCACAAATAGAAAGGACTTGATAGAGAATCTAATTGAAAAGAAGAAAAGACAGTCAGAGAGGTAGTCATAGGCAGATGCAAGCTCTCTACTACATAGAGGTCTCCAACTCTACGGCCGGTCCTAATTTGCTGCTTAGACATTCGATCCTACACAGAACATATAGAAGAAGAAAAGATAACATCAAAATCGGAGGCATGAAGCTGACCGATATATAATAAATTGATAATTAAGGAACATATAAGACAGATAGAATAGAGATAGCAGACATAGCACACGGCAGAACAGACCCAATAGATATAACAGACATACCAAATCTATTAACAGTAATAGGAAAGGGAGGGAGAGTACAATTCTGAAGTAAGGAGAGATTAGGCGTCATATGATGAGAGGTACCAGAGTCAAAAAGCCAAACAGAAGAGGAGATACCTGAAGAAAAACCAAGCAAACCTGAATGAAGAGAGAAAACAGCAGAGGCAGGTGAGGATAACTGAAATGTAGACAGTATATGGTGAAGGTGACTAATCTGAATATTTAAGGAAGCCAAGTCAAGATTAAGAGCCGAAGCAGATGCAGTATAAGTGGTAAGAGGAGCACGAAACTGGTTCTGAGACTGTTGAAACGACGAGGCAGGCAGACGTCCCTTCTTGGGACAATGATACTTCCAATGGCCCTTCTGATGACAAAAGGCACACTCATCCGAAGCAAGAGACATCATAATAACCAAAAAAAAAAAAAAAACTGAGAGGATTCAAGTGTAATAAACCTAAAATAAAGCAAAATAGCCGAACCAGTGGTTCTAGTGTAATAACCAAAATCTAAGGGGTTAAACTATAATCAAGGAAGCACAGATACGGATACAAGATACGGATACGACACGATACGGATATGACGATACGACAAAACCGAAAAAAATAGGATACCGGTACGGTTAGGATACGTTTTTGAAAAATATATTTTTTAAAATTATTAATAGTGAGTTACACATAAGGTAAAGAACGTTGAGAAACCACAATATAATTTTATAATGCAAAATATTAACCTTTAAGAATTTTGCATTAATTTAAGCTAGTAGCTTGTTTACTTCTTAAATTTTTAATAGGTCTTGCAAATATTTCATTTCAATATCAAGTTTAATATATTTATAATACAATAATAGAACAATTCACAACTTGTCCCTCTACTTTTTCCTTTGACACTAGTGAAAAATATTGTATTCAAATTTACTTGCTTATTTATTTATTGATAATTAATTTTACTATTGTTATATTCTCTTATTAATTCTTACTTTCTATGTAGTTATAGGGGACATGAATGAAATAATTAGGATACATCAATTTGATAAATTTTATTATTTAACTCACTATGCTCTTCTTATCGAAAGACTTAACAAAGTATTAGAAAAATATTCTTATTTTTATACTTGCAATTATATTGTATTATATTATATTACTATGCAAGAAATGTTACAATTCTAATTTCATAAAACAAGTAAACATGACTTGGAGTATCCGATACTTCAAAATTAAGTATCCGATACTCCAAAATTAATGAAAAAATAATTAAAAAGTATCTGATACTTTCAATAAGTATCCGATACGTATCCGCGAGTATCCAAAGAGTATCGGTATTCGATACGGATACAATACGGATACGTCACCCTATTTGAAGTATCCATGCTTCATAGACTATAATACAACATAACCAAATGACCATAGTGTAATAACCAGAAGAATTTGGGTTCAAAACTTAATAATCCACAAATTAAATGTAAAGATCAAACCAATTACGAAGGACGATAGAGAGATCGACCTTGCGAGAGAATTAGGAGTCGCGAACATAGGCACAGAGAGAGAGATTGACTTGGCGACCTCGCGAACTGGAGAGAGAGAGAGAGAGAGAGAGAGAGAGATCCCTCGCACAACTCTTCGAACCAGAAAGAGCCCTTAAACTGTGTTGCACGCACCAATTGAAGGGTCGCCGACAGAAGAGAGAGCCAAAGACTGTGAGATGTGAAGCAGAGGAGATGAGCTACGATCCAGATGAGTCACAATTTCGGGTTGGATGACTTGCAACAGTTGTTCAAAGACGGGTTCAAAGAACCAAAAGGTCATCATGAACCAAAGAACCAAGAGTCTACCTCCAACAATATAGAGATATAAGCCAAAGATGACTTACGTTGAACCACGTATCAAAGACGAGAGAACCAGTTGGAAGTGAGACCCAGTTGCGAAGTAAGACTAGTCACCAAATAGAGGAAAGATTACAAACCAGGTGAATCTTCAAAAAAAGGGAACTTCGAACTAGATTTGACCAAAGCAAATGAACCAAAGAAAGAATCAATTTGTGCAAAACCCTAGCCACCACGAGATCAACAATCGTGCAACTATGATATCATGTAAGTTTTCCGAACGAATTCTGTATATTCAATTGTAAATAATACAAAGAGTACAATCGAGTTATATAGACCTAATCTAAAAAAGGAAATAAGAATAAACCTATATTCTTACAATCAATCTAATATTCACACAATCAATCTAATATATTTACATAATTAGCATAATATTCTCACAGTATGTGTGTGTGTGTGTGTAAAAGTATTTTGGATCGTATAGAAACTTCTTATGATTTTAACTTTTTGGACATTTTACATTCCTTGTTATCAATAATCTATTGAACTAGTCATTAGCATGACCCATAAAATTAAATGCAGACAATATAAGACTCTTTAAATTGAATATTAATGAGATTAATGTAAAATCTAATGTATTAAGTGAGCTATTAAGGTATGCATCCTTAAAAAGAGGCATACTATATGCACCTACTGCAACTTACGTATCATAATCACAACATTTCGTAACAAATACTAAATGTCATAACTTTTCACACCAAAATGGTTCATAACATTTCTCACCACATAAAGTTTGTAACATTTATACCACACCGTTCATAACATAACCATAATAGTTCGTAACTTTCACATTAGGAGTGCACACCATGGATTCATCCATTCGCAACTTTATCACAAATTGATGTAACACACAACAAACATTCCATATATTAATGATTATAGATATGTCTGGCATATAATAAATAAAATATTATCAAAATATTCTATCATCTCAACATATTGTCCTTTTTTTTTTTTAACCACATATGTCTGCAAAATGTAAAACATTCCCAGGAGTAGTTAAGAGTTCAAATTAATCTACTAACATATATATTATATATAATGTAATGAAAAGTTTGAGCTCAAGGTATTTAATTGAATACCCTGAGGTAGTGTTTGGTTCACTAGAATGGAGTGGAATAGAATGGTCATTCCATCAAAATATCCATTCTCATAATTGGTTGACTAAAAAAATAATAAAAAATACATTACAAATGGTATCATCATTAAGCATTGTAAGGAAATGATCATTCCATAGGGGAGCCTACGGAATTACCATTACATCTCATTCTAGTGAACCAAAAAGAGCATGAGTGGTACGTGGAGCCGCCCCTAGTCCTACCCCATATTTAACAACCAAAACCACAAGTCGTCCTTGTGATATTGAAAAAAGACTCCACATTGGTGACAAAGGCCAGTCAACGGAGAACAAAAACAACATCGAGGTCATTGATACTTTCAAAAATATCACAACTGGTTTCTGAAACCCACATTATTTATCAATAATAGAGGTGAGGTGGATTGCAGAACATGATTTTACTTTGGTGCCAAATCAACTTTCTAAAATCATTATAAAAAAAATCCAAACTGTCTTGCAAAAAAATAATAATTAAAAAATAAAAGCAATATGAAGTGTCCAAGCATGTCCGCATCGTGTCAGTGTCAGACACAAGAGCCATTTCTAGCAGGATCATTTGCATATACAGCCACGTTTCTAGTTTACTTGAAGAGAGAAGCTCAGTCACTGTTCAAGAATCAAAGCCCATTTATGTACTGTAGATTAATAAATCAAATAAAAACTGAACCAATTACCGTTATGTATTTGCTCCAAAGGCAGGAAGAGACTGCTCCCACTAACACAGCAACACAATATGCCAATTCAAGTAGCCAAATACAAATCCAAAACACCTGAAAAGGTTAGATTTGGAACAAAAATAAAAATTATAACACCCAAAAGCTTTTAGAGGATCCTGCATATAGTTTAGATTGATTACTAACCCGCTCTTGACCCAATCTGACAGTGAAAGATCGAATGCCAAATAATTTGTCTCCATCAATATCAGGTATATCCTACAAAATAATCAGTGAAAAGTTAAAACTGGGTATGAATTCTGTACTTCACAAGTATCGTAAGTAGTGGATGAAAACCAAGAACAAAAAGAAACATAGTGCAATGTACACAAATCTTACTCATTTTCTTGTCAATAATCTGAAATACTTTTCCAAATCTATATGAAAAAATTATCTTTATGCTCAGAGGCAATGATCACCGGATGATGGAACTTACGGTTCACGCAGCCCACCAAGCTAGGAAGTAAAAATAAAGAACTCAACCTTTGAAACTAAGAAGACTGAGCCTACAATCAGAAATACATCTTCTGGTTCATTTTTATAGAAGTGTACAGCCCAATACACGAATACTTCACTGAGTTCAGCAATATGTAAAATCTCAGAAATACTATTGAAACTTCTCTAACAATAGTTTTGTAAGTCAACAATCATGAAGACACTTTTCTGTGAAGTTAAAAACACCGCTCTTTTTCGACATGAAAAATTAAATTAGGAAATTTACCTTAAATAATGCTATAACAACTGAGAAGAAGCTCATGAATGCAGTTGCGAAAATCACAGGCCTTGAAAAGACAGCATGTCTTCTGTACACATGGGTCTGGACATTGTTAAAACATTAACAATCAGATAATGGAAGTGCATCAGAGCATGAACAAAAGGCACTGACTTTTAGAAAGGTAAATATAATCAAATATAAGATGCCTTCCAACATTTTTTTGGTTTGAGCCACTATGAATACTCAAAATCCTGAAATTGCAATAATTTATGCAACAAGTCAGGTTTTATTCAACCATTTTGGGTACAGTTTCATGCATCCAACAACCATGTCCACATTAAGTTTCAATTGATGTTCAACATCATAGTCACAAAGCCACTACATATCCCGCAAATAAATAGTTGGGCAAAATCCACTATACTCCATGCGATTTGGCCTTGAAGCACTTTATCCCCTTGTTATTTAAAATAAGCCAAAGACCCCCACGTGGTTTTAGACTAAAGTACAAAACTAACTCCGTTAACGGCAAATGTAAAATGACCTTATTATCTCCTCCTTTTTTTATTTTTTATTCTCTCTCTCTCTCTCTCTCTCTCTCTTCCCTTTTTTTTTTAATTTTTATTTTTCTATACAACTAATTTTAACTTAAATCACATATCACCAAATAAAACCACTTATAATAACCTAATTTCTGACGTTGAACTTCCATTCTAATTTAATCTCATATTATTATAATATATATACACACATATATACACTGTGCCTGTATATATACATACAATAGGGTCATGTGCAGTGGAATGAGGGGGTGGTGGGTGATATTTTGGTGAAGGAATCTTAAATGAAATGGAAGTCATTTAATGAGATCATGAGTTTTAACTGTTGAAATTCTCATTAAACTCTGCTATGCTTCCAGATCTTGTATTAGGGGTGTCAAGGCCATTGCCTATTACAAGTATACACATACATGTAACCAACATTCTTACTTGTTTGAGAAAGTTCTTCTTGAGAAAGCAGAATTAGAGATAATGGGCATGTTTGGTTTGGATTTCTAGAGTGATTTTGGGAAAAAAATTGTAAAAAATTTGTTTGGTTTGTAAATTTTCTAAAACAATTTTCAAAATCACTTTCTGTTACATATCAATCAATCACTTTTTCTCTCTCTTCTCTTCTTCTCAATCACTTTTTCTCTCACACACATCTACTCAATTATAACAAAATATCAAATCATTCAAAACTCCCAAACTCTAAAACTATTTTCAAAATACACAACCAAACAAACCAAAAAAATTTCTAAACTCTCTTCCCAAAACAATTTTTAAAAATTACTCTCCCAAAATCAAACCAAACATACCCAATAATTTGCTTCTTCAATGATGGTTCGATTATCTTGACACCTTGATTTTGAAGAAATAATTTGCAAAGAGGGTGATGCATAGTCACGAGGGAGGAGGTATGGCATGGTAGGGAAGAGGAGAGGGTTGGAGAGGTCAGACGTCGGTGGGGTGGATAGAGGAGGGAGAGGGTGGTAGGGGCAGCGGAGCTGGAAAGGAGAGAGGATGTGCGAGAGGTGGTGGGGGGAGGAGAATCCAGATCCTCTCCTTGGAGGATTTGTACTTGGCTCCCTACTTGGTGGGCGGTTCACTTTTGGGCCCAATTTCGATGATCCAAACCGTTTACATTTAGGATTTGTCGAGTATATTATAACTATAAAAAATCAAATTGATCGGATATCGGAAACCACGTGTTCGAATCACCGAACTAAAAATTGTTTATTAAAAAAATTTAATTATTTTTTAATAAAACGGTTTTTAGTTCGATGATCCAAACACGCGGTTTTCGATATCCGATCAACTTGATTTTTTACAAGTATGATATACTTGACAAATCCTAAAATGTGAATGGTTCGGATCATCAAAATTGGGTCCAATGGCCCACCAAGTAGGGAGCCAAGTACAGATCCTCCAAGGAGAGGATTTGGACTCAGAGAAAGAAGGGGGTGGCAGGGGAGGTGGCTGGTGTCAGGTGGTGTTTGGTTGGTTAGGGTTTCTAGTAGTTAGGAGGAAGAAGAAGATGAAGTTGGGTTAGGGTTTCCAGTAGTTTGGAGGAAGAAGATGAATTTTGAGGGTATATTTGTACTTTTACCTTAAACTTTAATTTTGACTTATTTTTGTTTTTCCATGTCAACATTTCGAATAGGCGTGTACAGCTTACTTTCCTTCAATTTGGATGAAAATTTTAATGGTTGGGACGTAAAGTGCAACACTACCAAAATTGTATGAGTCCTTGGCTATTTTTAAATGATAGGGTTAAATTATAGAAAAGTAAAGTGCATTTTGCCTAAATAGTTTAAGATAATAAATCAACGCGAGATTCTATTTGCACACCACACTTTGTCTCTCGTACACACCATTTGTGCCGTTTAAATATAAACTTCCGAACAAAATACAAATATTCAGATATCTACTTCCAAACAAAATACAAATGTTCGGATATCAATTATTGAATGGGATTTTGTTCAAACAATTGGGTTTTTGTTCAGAAGTTGATATTCGAAGATTTTGATTTTGTTCGGAAGTCGATATCCGAACAACACAAACGGTGTGTACTAAGATAAAGTATGGTGTGCAAATAGAATTACCCTAAATCAATCATATATCCAACATAAATAATAAAACAAAACCTGAATGTGCAAAAAAAATGCAATTTGAACAATCACTGCTCGTACAGCCAGGATGCACATTGCTGCAACAAGAGCAAATCTCTTCCATCTCAACAGTGGCAGCTGAAATAATTACAAGTTTCAAAGATCAAGTCAGAAAACCAACTCTGTTATGCATTACATATTTAACATTCATATTTACTTAGCTTGTTTGAACTATAACTAGAACTTAACTACAACGGGCACCTTCTACTTGAACCTATTAACTCATATGAGATTTTGGGCTTGTGTGTCCCCCATTTAAAGGGATCCCCCCTTTTTTTGGTTTCCAAAGACTGGGGAGCCGTTTGGCAGTCCTAGTCTTAGGGATGTTTCCTTACTTGCTTTATTAGTTAGTTTTTTTTTTCCCCCCCTCAATGTACGAGGACATCTTGTCCTCTCTTTGTTATCACTTTTTTATTTTTTGTTGATGCTCAAAAAAAAAAGGAAAAAAAAAAGAAGAAAAAGAAAAGAGATTATGTTTGATCTCTTGAATGTATTGAACTAAACATATTATGAGTGTAGACATTCATGTTCCCATATACACAGTGTTCTACAGATCTCGGTGTAGGCAAGGGACATCCACTTGCCAGCAAATGTATGATACCATACCTACACCTACATCTGCATGTCAGACTGGTATTCTTCAACAACTTACGCGTCCATGGACTCTTGAACAAAATGGTGTAGCTGAACGTAAAAATCGTCATATTATGTCTGTTATGCGGTGTCTCCTTTGTGGTATGAGTGTCCCTAAGTCCTATTGGCATATGGCTGTCCTCACCGCTGTATATCTTATTAATAGGATCCCTAGTCGTGTATTGCAGGGTCTTACTCCATTTCATGTTCTTATGCCCCACACTACTCTATTTCCTCTCCTACCCCGTGTCTTTGGATGTACCTATTTTGTTCAGGATTGGAGTCCCGCTCGTACCAAGTTAGATGACACACCTATTTGTTGTGTCTTTTTTGGGGTATTCTTCCATGTCAAAAGGGTATAATTGTTTTGATCCTATGTCTCGTCACTTTCACCACACTTTGGATCAGTGTTTTTTAAAGCGAAAAGCGAACTGAGGTGACAAGGTCTCCTAATGCCTAAGTGCGAGGTGACGAGGCGAGGTGAGGGCTTCATCGAATTGAGGCGAACACAAAGGATATTTTTTTAAAATAAATAGTATAGACAAAAAATATAAATATTTTCAAGAACCATCATGCATTTATCATGCTAAACACTAAATATCCTTAAACAACACAAAATATCCAACAAATCTAACATTCTAAATGCTAAATATTCATCAAAAACATAAAACAAAACATCAAACCAATCAACCATCCCAAATAATTCTTTCCCCTTCTTTAATCAAAAATCAATGCAATGCTTTAATAATTTTTATTATTCTCTTTATTAAATAATGTGACACTTATCTTATTATTAAAGTGAATTATATTTTAAATTTTAAATTTTTATTAGTACATGACATTAATTAGTAAGACAATGTTATAAAATTTATTAGTCTGTATAATACTTTTCAGCAAAATAATTATACAATTAACACAGCAAAATAATTATACAATTGTAAAATCAATTTAGTAAAATTAATTGAAAAAATTTTCAGCAAAATAAATAGAAAAGAAACAGAACAAGAATCAGGGCAGAGAAAAAAAAAAGGCGAATAAAAAAAACAAAAGGGAAAAAAAAATCTGCTGAGAGATGAAATAAAGGAAAGAAGAAGGAAAAAAAAAAGAAAAAGAAAAAGAAAAAAAAGACGAAACAGGAAAGACAAAGAAGAGAAGAGGGAGAAGACGAAGCAGGAAGAGAGAAGAAAGTAGGAGAAGAAGACTTACCTTAGAAACAATGTCGAAGACGAAGACGAAGTAGGACCAGGTTCGTTTCTCTCCTCTCTCTCTGCTTTTCGTCTCTCTCCCCTTTCGATACCCCCAGAAAGTAGGGTTTTACACTCAATAAATAGTAGAAAGCAATTCTAAGGTGCAATGCATGTCCACAAATAACACAAAATCAAGAAAAATGAAAGGCCCAGATCGTAGAAGCAAGAAGCGACGCTTTGTTTCGCCTTGCGCTTCATCGCCTAAGCCTCGCTTCACTCGCCTCAACCTGGCCTCTCCATATCGCCTCGCTTCGAACCCTATGAAGCACAGTAGCCTCGTCTCGCCTCGCCTCGCCTCGCCTCGCCTCGCTTAGGCGAGCGCTTAGGCGTGCCTCTAACAACACTGCTTTGGATGTTACTTTTTGTGAGGACCCATTTTTTTAGTACTAACCCTCTTTTGAAGGCTTCCACTCCCGTTGCTTCTGGTGTTCGCCCTATTCCTATTTTGAACGAGGTTACAGATAAGGTTGTCCTCTCTCCTCATTCTCCATCTTCGCCTCCTTCAGCCCCCCCATTGCAGGTATACTCTCGTTGCCCTCGCTCTCAGCTCCCCCTTGCCGCCACTCCGGTCTTTGAGTCAGGTATTTCTTCTCCTTTACATATATCCCCTTCACCTCCTCGTCGTAATCCCTCTCGGGATCGACATCCTCTAAACCGTTGGGGTTATTTGAGTAGTACTAATCATCCCATTTGTCAATTTCTTCCATATGATAGGTTCTCCCCTACCTATCACTCTTTTCTTGGCAAGCTTGAATACGAGGCCATTCCTTGTTTTGTGTCAAAGGCCCTTCAAAATCCAAAATGAGTGGAGTACTGTGGGTGGTTGCGATGCCAACTTTAGAACAGAATCATACCTGGGATTTGGTTCCTTTACTTTCTGGCGAGAGTACTGTGGGTTGCAAATGGGTATTCACTATTAAGTATCTAACTGATGGCTCTGTTGACCATTACAAAGCTAGCTTGGTGGCCAAGGGCTTCACCCAGGTTCCTGCCAAGGATTTTGGAGCCACTTTTGCACCTGTTGCCAAGCTCACCTCGGTTTGTCTTCTCATCTCTCTTGCAACATCCCATTCTTGGCCTCTTCATCAGCTTGATGTCAAGAATGCCTTTTTTTATGGGGATCTTCTTGAGACAATTTATATGGCACCTCCTTCTGGTTTTCGGGCTGAGGAGGAGTATTCGGGGAAAGTGTATCGATTGCACAAGTTTTTGTATGGCTTGAAACACTCTCCATGAGCTTGGTTTGGTCATTTTAGTTCTGTCATCATCTCCATGGGGTTTGTTCAATGCCACTCTAACCATACTTGCTTCATCCATCGTAATTCAACCGGTCAATGTATAGTCTTGTTGGTTTATGTGGATGATATTATTCTCACAGGTGGTGATTCTGTAGGCATTGATCAAGTAAAAAGGGATTTGGGACACACCTTTGATATTAAGGATTTGGGGAGTCTCAAGTACTTTCTTGAGATTCAAGTGGCTTGCTCACAGCAAGAAATTCCTTATCTTAGAGAAAGTACACTCTTGACTTATTTCAGGATACTGGTATGTTAGGATGTAAACCTGCTTCTACTCCTATGGATCTCAATGTCAAGCTCACATCAGAGTCTGGCAAGTTATTAGAGGACCCAGGCATGTATTAGCGTCTTGTTGGACGTCTAATTTATTTGACCAACACTAGACCTGACTTGACATTTGCAGTCAGTGGTATTAGTCAATTCATACATGCATCTTGTACATAATATCTTGATGCGGTTCATCACATTTCAAGTTTGGGAAGATCCAAAAAAGCCAAAAAGCCAAAAAGTTACTCAAAAAGCTAAAAAGTTAACACTATTCACCAAAAGTCAACAATTACTCCTATGGATCTCAATGTCAAGCTCACATCAGAGTCTGGCAAGTTATTAGAGGACCCAGGCATGTATTAGCGTCTTGTTGGACGTCTAATTTATTTGACCAACACTAGACCTGACTTGACATTTGCAGTCAGTGGTATTAGTCAATTCATGCATGCATCTTGTACATAATATCTTGATGCGGTTCATCACATTTAGAGATGTTTGAAGACCTATCCTGACTTGGGATTATTCTTTACAATCACTCCTCAATCTGGGCTCTCTTATTTCACTGATGCTGACTATGCAGGATCTAGAACTGATCGACATTCTACTTTTGTTGTTGAATATCTTCAAACCAGTTTGAGGGTGAGTGTTGAATATAGAAATTAGAATACATAAAATCTTTTTATTTTTAGTATTATGTATATAATCTGTGATTGTGTCAATCACTGATTTAGTGCCTTATTTATATTGTTTCCTCATTTATATCGTTTTCTAAATTGTATCATGAATATATTATATATACATGGTCTCTACCTCATTCATGGGTAAGCCAAATCATTCTTTTTATCATTTTTCCATAAAGGAAGATATCGTCAAGGATATTTATAAAATGATTAAAATTTAAAACCTTTTACCAGTCTTTAGCCAACATCTAGCTTGATATTCTGTAAAATCATAATGTGCTGCCCCAAAACTGAGATTCTGGCAGAGTATCATGGTTGTTTCCTCACCTACCCTTCTCAAATCTGCTCAAGGAGCAGTACCACAATCGCCCATGGAATAAAGGGTGACAATATGAGACTGAGGCAATTACAAAGAAACTGAGCCAATTACAAACAGAGAAAAAAAGTTGTAAATAATTGAAAGTATACGATGGATGGCACAGACTAATTTGTTTGTAGTCTAAATTGCCCCATTAGTCTTTTCCATTCCAATTTGTGGGATGAGCTGGCAGATGGCATGAGGACATACAGGCAACATTGTGCATGATGAGATACTAGCTGAAAAAGAATGACTGTTGTCTGCAATAGAAAAGATTGAGAAAAGGAGCCAAGATTTTGAAACTATGCTACCTGGAACGTACCACATGCTCTAAAATGTGGTACGATAGAGGTAGACTTGTATATATTACAATTAAAATTAAGGTGCTTGTAGAGTAATTTTCTTTTAACTATTAGGCATCCAATAAAATGTTTTTTTTTTTTTCCTTCCATTTTTTATGTTTGTCTTTTGAAAACTTAACTCACCTTAGAGTTAATTATATTTGATTTTTTTTCCTCATAAGGTAAAGGAAATATGTTAAAATTGATGTATTATTAAGGAACCTTCGTGGGAAATATATTTGTGGGGGTTTTTGTTTGGACACACTGGATTACATCAGTTTTCCTCTCCCTTGTTTGTTTGTTTGTTTTTTTTTTTTTTTTTTTTCCTTCCATTTTTTATGTTTGTCTTTTGAAAACTTAACTCACCTTTGAGTTCATTATATTTGATTTTTTTTCCTCATAAGGTAAAGGAAATATATTGGAAAAAACTTTTGGAATCACTTCGGATCACTAAATTTACTGTTTTGGAACGACAGTGTACCATATTTCGGAGCATGCATACCAATATGTAATTCGCTAGGGTATTACCGTATTCTGGTAACACAGTTTTGAAATCAAATTTGTCTGAAATATCAGACCTTTGATGTTTCTTCTCATGATTCAATTTTAGATCTAATTATCTTTTTATCTTTCCCATAACATACGGTTTTTCTCTTCTTTTTTTGTCCTAGAGTACTATTTCATTTACTACGACGTCTACAGGCCTTTCATGCTCATATTTGTCTACTTCTAGTTTCTTTTTTTTTTTGTTAAATGCTCTACAAATTTAATTTTGTTAACTTTTTTTCCCCACTTTACCCTGGTTGGGTCTCTAAATGGTTTGGGAAGAGTTTTTATTTATTTATATACATAAACACATTCACCCAAAAATATATACATAAATATATATATCATTCAGGCTATTTCCAAACTAAACCCACTGTGAATGCTACTGCTCTTTCCCCTTCTCTTGAAAAAGTAAGAAAACTGAACTTCTCATCAAAGAAATGAAAAGATAAGATAAAAAGACCACAAACAAAGGTATAGCTGAGCTGAGTGAAGTCTTACAAAAATTCGTAGAGGACAATAATTCCCTCCAAAATCTCAACAGGAAAAGGCCCTTCCTGCCTAATTAGTCTATCTTCTTATAAGCTGATCCCAAAAGCCAGCTAACCTTCTTTTCTAACTTTTCTAACTGGAGCGATTCTCTCACATCAAAGTGAAACTACACCATCTTGGTGCTTTACACTTCAATGATTGATCTCAGAAGATTTAATCACTTGAGGACAAAAGATAGAATCCCAAGGAAAATTCACTTGAGGATGCCGGCTCGCTAATATTGCTCACACTTCATTAATTCACCATCATATTGAAAAAGGTAAAACACTTGACATATTCTGTACTAAATATTTAGCAATAAATTGTCTAGACAGAAGATAGTTTATCTCACATTTCTTGGAACAGTATTGGAGGCAAGTAAATCAATTATATAAATACAGAGAATTAGAAGAGCATTATATTTATGTTTCATGATAAAAATAAAATGGAATAAATTTAATTTTTTTTTTTTTTTTTTTTTTTTTTTTTTTTTTTTTTTTTTTTTTTTTTTTTTTAAATAAAAATGTAATGGAAAATTATTTGAAAAGGGCTGGCTCACTTTCCGTGGAAAAGTGTGTAAAATAAATAAAAAAAAGAGGGAAGTGAGTGCTGGTGTGGTTAATGATGAAAGTTGGGATAATATATATTATTTTGAGTCGGTTGTCCATGTGGTGGATATAAAAAGATGGGTCAGGAAGAGAACAAAATAAAGGTGATGAAAAGTTTGAAAGAAATGATGGTGAAAATAAAGGAGGGACAAGGAAAGTGGCCATAGTGGTGGTATTGGGAGAGTGGGTGTAAAGTGAGAGAGAGAGAATGGGTTGAGAGGACACTGTTATAGGGCTCCACAACAGAAGTAGAGACTCGGGGGGCTTAATGGACGGATGAGATTCAGAGCCAGATCTATGAATGACATTCTTGAACTTGCAGACTTAACAATGGAGAACAACAACAACAATCCACCAACTGGGTTGTTGTTAAGAAGTGACGATGAGAAGGAACCTTGGCTCAAGAACAAGGCCAAGAAGAAGGAGAAGAACCAGGTGTTTCTTGAAGGGTACGTAGAGGCAGCAGATGAGGATGATCTTACGAGGACAAAGAGCTTGACTGATGAGGATTTGGAGGAGCTCAAGGGCTGTTTGGATCTAGGGTTTGGGTTTAGCTACGATGAAATCCCTGAACTCTGTAACACTTTGCCTGCTCTCGAGCTTTGCTATTCCATGAGCCAGATGATGGTAGTGAGGATAGAGGAGAGAGCATTAGGGGTTGCGAGTGTGGGCCACCAGGATTCATGGCGGAGAACAGCATGACCTACATTTATGGACTCAGCGTACCAGGCTTGGAGCTTTTTTGTCATTGCAGACTAGGCTTGAATCTGGGTAGTAACGGTTCACATAAGTTTGAACCCATTTCTGTATGGCGGACCAGATCAGGAGCCCATCAGCTGCATAAGGGTAGTCCTCAATTAGTAGCTTCACTCCATGTGGTGGTGTGGGGTCCGCTACAGCCATACCCCTTCGAATGAGATCAGCTGGAAGGCCTTCGAGATCAAAGCGCCAGAAATTCTTGTAGGCGGCTGCACTAATCTCCATGCAGTATCGACCAGGAGTATATCTAGAAAAGTCAGCGGACTAGGTTGAGGTCCGGCGGGCGGCTAAGGTGAGGTTGCCGCCCGCCGGGAAAGCAAAAAATACTAGGTTCTAAACCTGCTCTGATACCATGTTAAAATTGATGTATTATTGATTGTTGTATGTTATATATTACAAATGGTGAGGGGCTCCTTATATAGGAGATGTAGTGGAGTAGGTGGTAGTAGGTGGTAGTGGTAGGTGTGTAGTAGGTGGTAGTAGGTGGTGGTAGGTGTAGTAGGTGGAGTAGGTGATGGTAGGTTTTAACAAAATATATTGGAAAAAACTTTTGGAATCACTTCGGATCACTAAATTTACTGTTTTGGAACGACAGTGTACCATATTTCGGAACATGCATACTAATATGTAATTCGCTAGGGTATTACCGTATTCTGGTAACACAGTTTTGAAATCAAATTTGTCTGAAATATCAGACCTTTGATGTTTCTTCTCATGATTCAATTTTAGATCTAATTATCTTTTTATCTTTCCCATAACATACGGTTTTTCTCTTCTTTTTTTGTCCTAGAGTACTATTTCATTTACTACGACGTCTACAGGCCTTTCATGCTCATATTTGTCTACTTCTAGTTTCTTTTTTTTTTTGTTAAATGCTCTACAAATTTAATTTTGTTAACTTTTTTTCCCCACTTTACCCTGGTTGGGTCTCTAAATGGTTTGGGAAGAGTTTTTATTTATTTATATACATAAACACATTCACCCAAAAATATATACATAAATATATATATCATTCAGGCTATTTCCAAACTAAACCCACTGTGAATGCTACTGCTCTTTCCCCTTCTCTTGAAAAGTAAGAAAACTGAACTTCTCATCAAAGAAATGAAAAGATAAGATAAAAAGACCACAAACAAAGGTATAGCTGAGCTGAGTGAAGTCTCACAAAAATTCGTAGAGGACAATAATTCCCTCCAAAATCTCAACAGGAAAAGGCCCTTCCTGCCTAATTAGTCTATCTTCTTATAAGCTGATCCCAAAAGCCAGCTAACCTTCTTTTCTAACTTTTCTAACTGGAGCGATTCTCTCACATCAAAGTGAAACTACACCATCTTGGTGCTTTACACTTCAATGATTGATCTCAGAAGATTTAATCACTTGAGGACAAAAGATAGAATCCCAAGGAAAATTCACTTGAGGATGCCGGCTCGCTAATATTGCTCACACTTCATTAATTCACCATCATATTGAAAAAGGTAAAACACTTGACATATTCTGTACTAAATATTTAGCAATAAATTGTCTAGACAGAAGATAGTTTTATCTCACATTTCTTGGAACAGTATTGGAGGCAAGTAAATCAATTATATAAATACAGACAATTAGAAGAGCATTATATTTATGTTTCATGATAATAAAACATACTCAACTATGCCCTATCTGGATATGAAAATGGCCCATAAGCTTGATGATCCAACTCACATTAATTGAATATGCAGTTCCAAGTACAAAACTGATGAAAAGAGCCCAAAATAGTGGCCAGGAACCAACAATCCATCCAAGACAAAAACTCTGCAAAGAAAGGAATATTTGGCTTTCTTAGTCAATAAATCAATTGCGGTACGCAGAAGTTTCTAATCCAGGAAAAAAAAAAAAAAATTCCACTGAATAATTCATAACGAGAAGAAAAAGTAAAATTTCAGCACTACATGTGATACAAATTGCTTAGTGAACATTGATCACCCAAACCTATTTCCTTGGGTTTATTAACTAGATGGCACTTCAGAAAAATCAAGATTTATGAACAAGAAAAATTTGGATGGAGAGAAAATATTAAGGACTATTAGAAAGTGGGAATGTACTAAAAACAGTGCATATCCTTTGTGCATCTTCATTCAAATAATGGAGGGGAGAAGTGGATTACAATTTACAAGGTACAACAGAACAGAACCTTTTAAATGCTAAGAAAGTCGCAGAGGTCTTTTTCCTAGTTGATTTTTCTTTCATTTATGTATTAATATTGACTACTGCTGTTACTCTTTTCTACATTTTTTTTTTAGAAATGCTGTTGTTCTTTTCTACATAAACAAAAAATATGGATTGGTTCTTTACTTCATATATCAAATTTTAGAAATTAAGACAGAAATGATAAAGATCTGAGTAAGAAGATAAAATGAGTTACTAGAGAAGAAAAAAAAAACTTATTGCTTATATTTCAACAATTTTAAGAAGAAAATCCAGAAATATTATCGCCCTTAACAATAAACTTCTAGTAAATCAAGAAGCAAATATATTCGAAGGTCTATGAAATGTCAACTGTCAAGCTTGAGAACTATATCACCATCACCTTGGAAGCATGGACAGCCCAAAATGGTTGCTGTGTCCGTGTCCAACAACGACACAACACAAACAAACGTGTCCATCTGTCGGACAGACATGTACATGTGTGTCCTATGTCTGGACATGCCTCAAGACATCTTTGTGGGTTTTTAAATTAATTTTAGAAAGTTGATTTGGGCTAGCAAAATATACAGAAGCAAAGAGGGAAAAAGTGGGAAAAAAAACAAAAATATACTCACATATACATCAATGTCTCTCACATATCTTTGTGCCCTAAATTTTTATTCACATACATAACAAATAAAAATATATACCTTTTTTGTCATATCCTCGTGTCTGTAACTTAGTTGCACGAAGCGGGAGCGGAGGCGGGAGAGGGGAAACGTGGCCATTTAGAGGAGTCGTAAATTAGGAGCGCTTATGTATTATTTTTATTAATTATATTTTATTTATTATAATGAATAATAAATTATGTTAAAATAAATAATAAATAAAAATTAGATGTTTTATTTTATAAATTTAAGATTTTTTTATTATATATGATTTAAATAGATTTCTTTTTAACAATTTGATGATTTATTATATGTTAAAAAGTTAAGAAATAATTGTTAAAAAAATAAATAATAAATAAAAATTATATTATATATGATAAAATAAATAATTTTTTATTTTACAAATAAAAATTATATTGTTTATGATAAATTATATTATAATTTATAATTTATAAATTATATTATATATATATATAATAAATTATATTATAATTTATAATTTATAAATTATATTATATATATATTATATGATAAATTATATGTTTATAAAACAATGAAAACGGAGAGAGAGAGAGAGAGAACATAATAGATCGAGAGAGGGAGAAGCAAGAGGCGCAACAGAGATGAAGAAAGAGAGAAGCAGAGACGAAGAGGAGATCGAGGGTGAGAGAAGAAAGAGAGAGAGAGACGAAGACCTAGGGCTTCGAAGAGAGGGACGAAGACTAGGGCTTCGACGGGGAAGTCAAATGGCGAGATCGAAGTCATCGAATAGAGGATCGAAGCCAGCGATCAGGTACTCTCCTTGCTCTATCAATAGTGCTCCCTTCTCGCATCAGATTCGCGTTTCCCTCTCCTCAGATTCGCGATTCTGATGCGATTCTTCCTTAGAAGCGCAAAATCGCGCTTTTTCCTCGGAGTCGTCGCCATCTGAAACGATTCCTGCTACTAAGGTCTGTAACCTATTTTTTAAAAATTTGTTGTATTCTATGTTCTTGTTTGTCCATGGTTTTTAGACTATCACTAAGAACTTAAGAAGCATTTTTGTCAAATAGAAAATTGAATTGTGAATTGTGACCTAAGAAGCACGTACATAGATATGGATACAGATGCAGAAACGGACACAGATGTGGACACGGCAAACTGCGATTTCAAAAAAATGGGGATACGGATACGGTGGGGACACAACAATAAATTATGTTTTCATATATTTTTATTTGCTCTCTAGATTACTATTACATCCACAAACAATCAATATTAACAAAAACTAACTCTAATTCTATTTTTTATTTTATTTTAAAAGGCACTTTTAAATTAATACTTACAGTTTATATCTTTTTTTTTATGAATGATCTATTAAGTATTTAAATCTAAGAACAAAAAAATAATAAACATTCAACATTCATCAAAAGCTGTAACGACCCCAACATATGTTTATTTTTATATATTATTTCATTGAGCATATTTGCATGATTATGTTCTTAATTGATGCTTATCTATTTGTTTGTGAATTATCTGTTAGAATGCAGACTTATTAGAATTCGAATTTGAAAGCCTAAACATATTCAAAAACCGAAATTGATTGGTTCAATAGGCTAATTGAAATATTTAGAACCTTATGGCTAATTTAATTAAAATTTGATTCGGATTAAAATAATTAGAATAAATTAATTAGAATTGATTAGAATTAAGCTTAATTAATTAAGCCTAATCCCACTTAATTAGTCTAACCTAAGCCAACTATATATATATAATATGAGCTTAATTAACTCATTTCATCATCTTCTTGGGCTGAAAATTAGAGAGGGAGTTGAGAGCTCAACACTTTAGAGAGAGAAAGGGGGAATTCAAGAGAATTGAAGAGAGATTGAAGAGATTAAGCTAGATTATCACCAAATTCAAGCACTAGATATGATCTTTAACCATAATTCATGAAGATAATCCATGTAGAAAATTGAATTCACTTAGTTGTAGGATCAATTGTATGTAATTGGAAAGGAAATATTAGAAACTTGAACATGGTAGAAATGAGTCAATTGTGTACATGCATGCATAATTCACCATCCTTGAGCTTAGTTTTCTACAAATTCATACATGCATGGGACTTACACTTGTTTCTTAAGATTCTTCATGATTTTACACTTGACATATCATATGAACATGTTTTGTAAAGAAAAGAAATGAATTCTATACATGCATGACAAGAACATAGAGTTTTGAACCCTGTTATGGAAAATTGGAAGAGAATTTGAGATCATGGTTACATAATTTCCATGCATTTATGCTTTATAAGGAGTTTTTATCCTTTTGAGCCAAGCCATGCAAGTTAGGAGCATGGGAATTGCATTTTTGAACTTCAAATCTAGTTCTAAAAATTTCAGAATTCGTTCACTTTGCTCGAGTGATGAAGTCATTGCTCAACCACACTTTGCATGCTCTCAGTATTTTTGCAGATATTTCCAGTTGGCTCAAGCGGCCAAGTGTGCGCTCGAGCAAACTTAACTTTGTTCAGCACTTGGCTCTAGCAAACATTGAGCTTACTTTGATAGCATCCAGTACTTTTGCAGATAGGCCACACTGCTTGAGGGACCAAAGGTGCGCTTGAGCGAACTGCCTTGTTTTTAGCATTTTTGAAATATACTTCACCTACTACACACCTACCACTACCACCTACTACACACTCACCTACTTCACCTACTCCTCACCTACTACACACTCACCCTCTTCTATATATAGGAATCATGAATCATTGTAATAAATATCAACATATCAATCAATAATACAATTATTTCTCTTTATACATTAAATTTCTACATGGTATCAGAGCAGGTTTAGAACCTAGTATTTTTCGCTTCACCGGCGGACGGCAACCTCACCTTAGCCGTCCGCCGGACCTCAACCGATTCCGTTTAGTTTCTACACACACCTTGCCAATCAAGTCCTCCTAGCCCACCGCTGTTCTCTCTGTTCTGCATACCCGATAAATCAACCTGAGCAGTCTGATCCGGAAACCCAGCCGAGATCTGCTGCATCTTCAATTCATTAGGTACCGAACACCCCATCTTCTCCTGCTGTTCCTGCCATATCTGATTCGAATTCAAATTAGACCAAAGTCCCACCTCATAACACTAGCCGGCCAAACAAAGCCGTAGTGTTTTTTTACCATGGAGACCGACAACCAAACCACCGCAACAACCTTGCCCGACCTACCTAGACTCATCATCATCGATCGTCCGTCTCTTCTCAAAAATTGCTCTCTGCGTGGTGCCCTCTTCCGTCTTCGCTGTCTGCAGATGGCTTCATCCACTGTCAACCGATGGTTGAGGCCCGAGGTTTATCCATTGTTTGCGGCCGTAGGGTTAGCTGTCGGGATTTGCGGATTCCAGTTGGTGCGCAACATATGCATCACTCCTGAAGTCAGGGTGAACAAAGAAAAAAAAAGGGCTGCAGGTGTGCTGGATAACCATGCAGAAGGAGAGCAGTACGCCGAGCATTTTGTTCGGAAGTTTGTCCAGGGGTATAAAACCAATCTGCTTCCTCGGGAATGCGGGTTCGAACTGTGCTGGACAACAAGAAATGATGCATGCCGATCTCGGCAGCCTATGCACATGGGCACACACCATTCACACTGCCACATGGACCTATGCACATGGGCACACACCATTCACACTGCCACATACACACACATGCACGACATCTCTCTCACTTTTAACCCTCTCTCTCTCTCTCCTTTCTTTTTATTTTAATATTCACATCCACTCCATTTTTTCTTTCAACTCAAGCAGCTGTCTGCTCCCACCGCCCATCAAAGACTTATTTTATCTTATTTTATTTTATTTTAATCCCCTCCTCATATTTTATCATCATCATTTTTCCCATCATCATCTTCTACCCCATTCTTTTCTTTATCACACTTATCTTTATCTCTTTTCTATGCAACTTCCACCGGCGCACATGCTATTC